TTATTTTGGTGATATACGACATTGTGGCGATTTTGTCTGGTTTTAGGTCAGGTGTGTCATTAACTCTGTGGCGTTGGTTTGTTTGTAATTACATATTAAGGGATTCTTGTTGTCCTTTTTGTATTTTTGTAAACATTTCTTCTCATTATTCGTAAGCCGCCTGTGTAAAGTAAAAATATAAAACAACAACATATATATATATTAAAAGTTACATTACAACATGTGCGTACATTTTTTTTTTATAAAATACAATAAATGATAATTAGAAATTAAAAGAGTAGAAATAAACAATTCTAAAATAGAAACATCTCAAAATAGAAATAAAACGGCATTAAAAAGAAGAAAATATACAAGTTGACCGTGAGGATAAAAAATCTATAAACTATCTGACAATTAAACGACTACTAAGGGCCAATTTCCAGTTAACACAATATAAAGCAGGGTATGTTTTACATTAGTGTGCAAGGAATTGAACACTTAAAGGTCACCTCTCATGCTATTTTTAGGCAATAGCTTAGGTCTCAGATATATACAAATATATAAAAAACATGTCTATGAAGTGTTTTGCTCAAAATACCAAACAGATCACCCATTCTAGCCATGCCTCATATCCCTCTGTTTCACTTCCTGTTTCAAAAGTGCTGATTTGGGGTATAAAGCTTTAAAAAAAGTAGGGTCTGAGCTCATGCGGGACCCGGCAGCTACTGTCTAAACGAAATGCTGCCGTGATGAAACGCCATATCATGGATTATCAAGGATTATTTCTGAAACAGTATGGAGCTCAAAGGCTTTCTCTCTTGCCGGTTATACCACAAGGTGAGTTCCTTTTTATTTCCTGCTTCTTCACACACATGCTCTCCAGTACAGGTTAGCTCTGAGTGTTAGCGATGCTAATGTAAACACCGACCATATTACGTCCAAAACAGTCGGGCATTGTTTCTGATAGCAACGTTTCTGATAGTGCCGTGGGTCCACATTTCAGATATTACGTCATATCGGACGCAAATCTGGATCAGCTCCGTTGTAGCCCCGTTTTTAGAGATTTGGGTACGGAGGAAAAGAGAGAGGGTTTTATTTTCTGACGCTGCGTGAGTTCCCTGACACACCGGGGACACATGTTGATGTATAAAAGACATAAAAAAGTGCATTTTACATGATAGGTCCCCTTTAAATGTAGAGTGTGAAGTTAAAGTCCAGTTAACCAAATGAATGAAATACAATAAAATAAACATCAGTATTAAAACGCGCACATTGTACAAAAATAACAACAATAAATAGGTTAAATGTGATAAATATCCTTCCGCAGCACATTGACTCACACTGTTGTCAAAGGGCTTAAACGTGTCGTAACTAGGGATGGGTATCGTTAAGATTTTAACGGTACTACTACTTTTATCGATACCGCTTATCGATCCGGTCTGTTAACGGTACTCTTATCGGTTCTTTTGGAGAAAAAAATAAGGTAAATTAATTAAACAAATTGTGAACAAAACTAACATTGCTTTTTATTTAAATTAAATGCATAATATTTCACATCAAAAGAAACAACAATGTTTAACAAATCGTATTAAATAATGTGATGACAGGACTGTAAACAGAATAGCTGAAACTTTAACAAACTAAATAACTCAGTTCCCTCTAATCATTAACCCATGTTTGTATAATTGAGTTAGCTCCGTGTGTTGCTGCTAGCATACATAACACCTGACGTGGAAACGTTACTCGTGGATGGGGCTACAGAGCTACTAGAAAGACAGTCGAACCCGGTGCATTTCTCCGTCTGGATGTGGTGCACTTTTGCTAAATGTTTAGACAAACTGCTCGTGTTACCGCCCTGACATGCTAAACTCTTATTGCACTTTTGGTAACGAGCATTGTCCACATCGAGACGGGTAAAGTTTAACCACACCTCGGAGCGCGTTCTCTCCGCCATCTCCGCCGTGTGTGTGTGTGTTGCTGCATGTAGCAGCTGCGTGTGTGTAAACTGCCCCGCCCCCTCACACACAGACGGGAGGGAGAGATCTCTCGTCTGGATTGGAAAGATCGAAAATACTAAAAATAATCATCGACGCATTTTGTAGTCTTTTTGCGTATTAGAAACGGAGTTGGCGACACTAAAACTGCAATATAATGTTTGTGTAGCAATAATACATATGACATATATATATATACAGATGTCTCCAGTACCGATAAAAAGACCGATAACGTCGGAGCTTATCGTTACCACGGTCTTTAATAATTCAGCCCCGGGGGCCCCTTTTAATACCGGGGCTCGGTACCCATCCCTAGCCGTAACACAGTGAAAGATGCTTCTTATAGTTCACATGATGCATTACAACATGTGGGATTACTAACACAACATGATACACACAGTCTGTTGTTGCAGAAATCCTGGTCAGCCTTATTGAAAGCAGATTTAAAGATAATGCTGACTCATCTTTCCTTCTGTTGAGTAATTAGCCGGACAATACAGTCAGTGTCTTTTATCCCTGATGTCATGGGAGACATGCTCTTGTTCCTCTTCCCGTCCAACAGCCTTTTCTGTTTTGTGAGACACGCCTTTATGTGCACAGGGACTATTAAGGGTTTTATGTTTCTCATTTGTGTGTGGGTGTGTGTGTGTGGGTGTTTGTGTGTGTGTGTGTGAGCACATTGTCTTTGAATCTCTTGGATCACTTCAAAAGCCTGTTACCAAACTTACCAAAGTGTGTGCTCAGCAGAAACATGGCATGTGTTTCTGATTCCCTCTGCAGCCCGTAAATACTCTGCTCCTCCACAGATTGTGTTTCTGTAATGACACGGTGTGTGTGTGTGTGTGTGTGTGTGTGTGTGTGTGTGTGTGTGTGTGTGTGTGTGTGTGTGTGTGTGTGTGTGTGTGTGTGTGTGTGTGTGTGTGTGTGTGTGTGTGTGTGTGTGTGTGTGTGTGTGTGTGTGTGTGTGTGTGTGTGTGTGTGTGTGTGTGTGTGTGTGTGTGTGTGTGTGTGTGTGTGTGTGTGTGTGTGTGTGTGTGTGTGTGTGTGTGTGTGTGTGTGTGTGTGTGTGTGTGGTGTGTGTGTGTGTGTGTGTGTGTGTGTGTGTGTGTGTGTGTGTGTGTGTGTGTGTGTGTGTGTGTGTGTGTGTGTGTGTGTGTGTGTGTGTGTGTGTGTGTGTGTGTGTGTGTGTGTGTGTGTGTGTGTCGCTCTCCAGCTGTTTTAAGTTGTTTGCGTCCTTTCAGAAATATATTCTCATACATAGCTAACAGCAGGCTGCCTACACACAAACAAGTAAAGTATATTGACTGAAGTACTGTATTTAAGGTACTTGTACTTTACATATTTTCTTTCTATACAACTTTATACTTCTACTACATTTTGGAAGGCAATCTTAAGCTTTTTACTATACTGATCATACAGCTTTAGTTCCTAGTTAATGTATACATTAATTGACATATAAGTATAGGTTAAGATATCCTGAAGCAGTATATACACTTCCTTAAAAAGTTCTACCTTCATCAGCTGGGTACACATGTAATACTTTGGTGCTTTTACTTGTAAGATGTTCAGTGCATGACTTAACTTGTAACATAGTATATTTTACAATTTAGTATTTCTACTTTCATCTGAGTACTTCTTCCGCCTCTGCACACACACTCAAAATGCAAACTTGATGTTTCTGACCACAGATATGTATGATTACAGTGCAGAGTTGGGAAGCCGTCCTTCTTTGAACCACAAATGCTGATTTCAAAGTCTTATATGATGATGTTTGCAACATTGTACTCAGCTCAAAGTGCTTTGACAATTTGGCACACTACACAAGATTAAAAAAAGACGTTGAAGTTGCTTAAAACTTTATTGGCACACATGCAGCATGAGTATATGATACATACAGGGCTCAAAGAAGGTCAACATTAGCAAGAGAATACACATAACTGAAAACCCACTCGGTCAAAGTGAGACAGAAATGAGCCAAACTTAATAACTACAATAATGAATAAATACAATTATTAATACTAAAGCCCAAAAGAAGGGGGGACATCACTTTATAAAAGCTTAGTTGAAAAGGTTTTCAGCCGGTAGAAAACAATTATACTGAGTTTTCCTCTCTAAAAGTTCTTGGTTAAGAGCCGAGTGGAAAAAGTAGCCTGCACAATTTTATTGTCATATGCACAGAGCTACAGTGTAGAAATGGCAATGAAATTCTTCTGACCTGAGCTCCTCCAACAATGCAACATATATAATATTACATTACATTGCATTTAGCTGACGCTTTTATCCAAAGCGACTTACAATAAGTGCATTCGTCCAAGAAGATACAATAAAATTAAAATAAACAAACAAGGCAGAGTTGGAAAGGAGCAAACGACACGGCAGCCATCATCACCGGCGCCATCTTTACAGTAGCACCTTTCAACACAAGGCAATTCAAAGTGCTTTTTAAAAATGAAAGCCATTAAGTAAATGTCATTTAAAAACAGTCATTAAAAAGCAAAGATAATAAAATAAACATTAAAATAAAAGTGTTTACAGTGCAGTTTAAAATGTGAATAGTTCAATTAAAAGCAGCGGCAAAAAGAAAAGTCTTCAGCCTGGATTTAAAAGTAGTCGGCGGACCGGCAGGTTTCTGGGAGTTTATTCCAGATGTTTGGAGCATAACAACTGAACTTCTCTATGTTTAGTTCAAATCAACATTTATTATAGCCCCAAATCACAAGAAATGCCTCAAAGGGCTGTACAAAGCAAAGACAAAAACAAAATATATTATTGTATTGCCATGGGATAAAAGCAAGTGATTGAAGTGATGGTAGTGATGAGCCGAAACTAGGTGATGGAAGCTAGTTTACAGGGAGACCGGTGCAAAGAGATGGGTTTTGAGTTTGCTTTTAAAGGAGTCTGACTCTGGGGACAGAAAGCAGACCTGTCCCTGAAGACCTGAGAGATCTGGGTGGTTCATCATTTAGCAGTAGATCAGAAATGTACCTTCAGTCCCCTCTCAGCCATTAACCTCTCCTCCTCCTGCAGGTGGCCCCTCTGTCAGGCAGTCTGAACGGAGAGCTCCTCATGTCCTCCAGCCTCACCTCCTCCTCCCTCAGCGTCCTGGACCAGCCGATCCCCCAGAAGCCCCTGGTGCGGGGCAGCCTGTCCGTGGCGCCGGCAGACTACGCAGAGCGGCCCGAGGTGATGCTGCGGAGGGAGGCCAGTGCGTCCGCCCTGCCTCTGAAGACCGAGGTGCCGCTCCACCTGTTCAGCACCACCAACCAGCAGCACAAACTGCTGGGGGTGCAGCAGCAGATCCCCACCAAGCTGGCCGCCTTCAGCAGCGGCAAGGGGAAGGGAGGGAAGATCGGGAAGGCCTCGCATCGCACCGACAGCAGCGGTAAGGAACTCACATAATGCTGGTTGTTTGGGTCACACACATGTGGTTCAAGTTCCAAGTTCCAAGGCTTTTATTGTCATGTGATCATAGCTGCAGTGTAGTTATGACAATGAACATCTTAGGTCACAGGCTCTTCCAACAGTGCAACACAATAAAACAGATAATAGTACAAGTAAATAAAATAGAATAGAAACAGAATATGATAGAAACTGTGCAGAATAGCCTATATACAGTCATTGGAATATTGATATATGTGAGTTGCAAACAGATGAATGTTATGTATGTTCGTTCAGAAGTTCAGGTGTTTAACATTCGTATGGCCTGTGGGATGAAACTGTCCCACCAAACATGGGAGACATGCTCTTGTTCCTCTGCCCGTCTGACAGCCTTTTCTGTTTTGTGAGACACTCCTTTATGTGCGCCCACTGTGATAGAGTGGTCGCCCATCAATCATAAGTCTGGCAGTTTGATTCCCAGCGCCTGCAGTCAACATGTCGATGTGTCTTTAGGAAAGATACTCAAACCCAAATTGTTCCCCATAGCATGGCCAAAGGTGTGAGAATCTGTGTGAATGTTAGCTTCCTTGAGCAGGTGGCGCCTTTGTATGGTAGCTTCTGTATGAATGTGTGTGAATGGGTGAATGCTGTCTTGTCTATGTAAAAGCGCTTTGAGGTGACTTTCATAAAGTAAAAACACAATGTGAAAGGGTCAAAGTTCTAATAGGAGAAGACGGTTAACAGTCAAACTGGACAATGCTGTGGTATCGTCCTGTCCAATCTTTGAGTATTGTAAGTATTCTTCTTGAAACTGGACCAGGAAGGAAAGGGAAAGGAAATGTGATTTTGAAAAGTGTATGAGTATATAGATGCATAAGCGGGGGGGTGTGACGTCACGTCGTGTCACGTGACTTGAATTTTGAATTGAGCCGTCCCTTATAGATACTATCTCTTTACGTATTAGTGATGGGAATTCCGGATCATTTGGCTCGGCTCACTAAGAAGAGCCGGCTCTTTCGGCTCCTAAACGGCTCTTCATGTTACCTCAGTTTCACCGCTGCGAGGCTCCGGCGCTCGCAGTTCACATGCGTGCTCCACTAGCACAGTAGCACCCCCCGTCAAGGCTCGCCGGCAGTACACTTTCCGTCACAGGAACGCGCTTTGCTGGCGGCGAAAATGATCCTACCAGACTCCTTTGCCCCTCCAACAGAGGGATGTCCTTGTCCTTTTTCCTTTTCGTCATTTCAAGCGATAAAAACTCGATCTTCTCTCGAATTTTTTTTTTTTTTGGACGCCCTCGGCTCGAGTTCAGGACGTTCCGAGCTGAATAAGGACGTCAAATGACGGCAAGACGCCCCCCTGGCGGAAACGCTGATAGTAGCCCTAAATCTGATGGGAAATTGACGCTTGAGGGCCACCGTATAGTGCCCTTAGACTAGCTAGCTCAGAAATACAGATATTAAAACACACATTTAAAAATGTTTGAGTTTGTTGTCACATTAATAAACGCTGAATCACATAATTTACTAAATGAACATCAGGCTGTACAGTATTAACATTTTCCTCACCATGAACTCCACCAAGTAAATGCTTTTTGAGGTTTTAAATAAAAGGAGAAGTCCTTTTTGCAACCAGTGACGCGGCTCCCTGCTGGGCTTTATAAAGACTAGTCGAATATAATACATTTCTTCACTTGTATATGCATGCATCAACGGCAATCTTGTGACTGTTATTTTAATGGGAACACAAATCATCCTGTAATGTCTTGTAAAATTGAGAATGAATAGTTTGTAGAGTAAACACACAGAGAAAAAAAGCTTCCTCTTCACAAATGAAACAGAGTGTGTTCTGTTACACTTGTGCTCACAGTGCGTCAGTTGCCAACTCAAACTAACAATTATCATAAAAGTACACGGTTGTAAAATATGTTTACGAGCGCTGCGTTGAGGTCCCCCCCCCCCCCCCCCCCCCCCCTCTGTTACTCATGCAGGTGATATATAGCAGTGCGGCATTTTCTGTATTAAAATGGATTTCTCTCGCTTGCTCTTCGTCGATACAGAGCCATCTGTGCTGACACGAGTCTGACCCGACCCCCCCCCCCCCGCTTTAAAGTGGCTCATTAGAATCACATTAGCTGTCTAAATTGGGTCAGCCCTCTGATTTATCAAATAGTGTCCGGAGAGAAGCTGGGTTTCTCCGGTTTACCAATGTAATCTAATTCTACAATTAAATCACCTTCTGTCTCCCTCTCTCCCCCCCTCTCCCCCCCCCCCAGCCTCAGTGGATATGAAGCAGATGCTCCCCCTGAAGCTGTCCGCCCGAGACGACAACGCCCTGAAGGCCAAACGCTCCGTCAGCCCCAACCAGCAGTCTGCCTCCCCGCTGCCTCCACCCCTGCATCACCACTCAGGTGATTTTAAAGGGGACCTATCATGCAAAATGCACTTTTTGATGTCTTTCATACATAAATATGTGTCCCCGGTGTGTCAGGGAACTCACGCAGTGTCAGGAAACATGTTATGAGTTTAAGTCTGTTGCCACAATGACAAAAACTGAGTCATTAATCACTGTACACAGATTTCCAAGCATTACAAATCCACATGACTAACATTAGCATGAATTCTAACTTAACATTGGAAACGCCTTAGACAAGCTAACGGGATTAGCATCGCCATTATATTGAAACTCCACACGTATTTAAAAACTGTTTAAATAACTATTACAGATAAACATTTATTTCAAATATTGCCAATTATATACAGACATAGGCTATGTGCCTTAATGTTCAGCAGAGAAACGCGACACTGTGCCAATTCTCTTCGAGGGCCAGCACACACTTCCTCCTCTGCTCCGACAGGACAAACCTGAACACACTCACCTGTCGTCTGTGTTTGCCTGCTGCATTATTAATCTTGGTTCTCACAGACAGACACACACACACACACACACACACACACACACACACACACTCTCTCCACCTGGACAGACCGGACTCCTCTCGCTGTGTTCATGCCCAGCCTCACCCTGTGTAAACACCTATCAGTTTCACATGTGATGAATGGCAGGCTGTTCTGCTGACACACACATTTTAACACTCTAATCCTGAAGCCCTGACAATTACCTCCGACACAGAAACTCTGGCAGGATTTCAGGTGATAGATTTCAGTTAGGCTGGGTAAACCCGGCTGTATTAAACAGGTATAAAGCACTAATCCACCAGCTGCTTTTATTCTATTTTCAGAGTAATCCCTTGTTCTGTAAAAACTGCAGTTGCATCAATTGCCGTTTTCTTGGCTACTTCCGATTTTCTTTCTTTCTAAGAACTGTTAATGACGGCATAGATGAGAGTAACACATTTCCACTCCATTTCCGGGCAAAAAGTACGGCTCCGCCCACTTTTGGGGGAAAACAAAGCTGTCATTTGAATGGCGGTCAATACAAATTCTGAAGTTTTTGCCAATCCGATCAGAAATTTAAGAAAACCGTGGATTTTTGGATCTTCGAAGAGCCCGATTACAATGGCCAGACAGGCAAACAATTACATTAAATCATTGGAAATCCAAGATCGGGCTCGATATATGGTTAAATATAGCAGTAGGCGATCGATGTCCATAGATGAGAGTAACATCTAGGTCACTTTACGGCCCCGCCCACTTTTGGGGGAAACAGCGCTGTCATTTGAATGGCGATCGAGCCTGAAGCCACAGAGCTCTTCTGTTACTGTTCTTAGAGGAAGTTCAGAAACACTGAACTCTGGATTTGTTTTAATGTTTGAGGTGCAATAAACGACACAGCAGCTTGTTGGCGTGATACAACTATTATTTTCCGCCTCGCTCATGAGAGTAACAGCTGGAGAAAATGACAGCCTCGCCTACTGATTTTAAGTAAATGATTTAATGTAATTGTTTGCCTGACTGGCCATCGTAATCGGGCTCTTTGAAGATCAGAAAATCCACGGTTTTCTTACATTTCTGAACGGATTGGCAAAAACTTCAGAATTTGTATTGACCGCCATTCAAATGACAGCTTTTTTTTTTTTTTTTTTTAAGTGGGAGGGGCCGTAATTTTCGCCCGGAAGTGACGTAGGTGTTACTCTCATCTATACACAAACATGGAAAACAGAATTATATTTGAATAGATAAAATAACATTGACTATTCAATTACTGAAATCACTGAAGTGACACTGACCTTAATCTCAATTCTCAAAAGCAGTTGCCACACACACACACACACACACACACACACACACACACACATCTATATAGCAACACGTCTAATGGATGTAACTTGTCTCTACATGAGGCTGTGACGTTATAGAGCCGGTTGTCATTTTGTAATATAAAATGTGTCTTGCAGGATAGCCATTATTCAACACACCAACTGTTACATGGTATTTATAGTGCATATGTAACAGATTCAGTGTGAAAAGAGAGCATCTGATCGAATGCAATGTGACACACTTTTGCACGCTCGCTTGCTAGAACATCACGGTGTTACTGTTCGATAAGTTAGACCGGTAAAAACAACTAAATACATATTCTATTAATCCCACAGCATTAAGTAGTGAAATAGGAGCCAGTCATATCAATTGTATAATAGTGTTTTGAATCAAGCACAGGATACATATATCCCCTAATTGCAGGCGCTGTTTTAACCCATCATTTACTCCCATATGTCGAAAACGTTAAACTGCATAGGTACCCTGACCCATTGACCCTGGCTGTGCTGTAAACTGCAGTAAAGGTTTACATAACATCCTTATATATATTTGTTTTGGTTCTTGGTATCTTACACATTTTCTACATGCCAAATCTGACCAAGTCTTTAAAGTCTTAACTTGAATTTTCATGGGGCTGATCTATTAGCTATTATTGTCAAATAAACCTCCTGAACTCCATTTGGGTTATCTGTCTCTCTGTCTATAATCGTCATGTATAGAGTGCCACAGTGACGCGTCCTAAAACCCGGAAGTAAGTTAGCATTTTACCACTTCCGGTTCCTTCGCCAAAAAGCAATGCAATTTCTCCATAGGGTTTGGGAAAACAGCTGAACTAAGGTCTGTGGTTGAGACACATTTAAGAGACGGGTCACGTTTTGTTCTACGACATTAAATCCATCAGCAGTGACCCCACTGGTGATTTCTGAAGAGTTTACGTGTCTGAAAAACGATGGTTGTTAACAAGTGGCTGAATAGGACTACAGAAGTCGTGGAGGCCGTTGTACGTCATTACGCCGAACACGTAAACACTCCTCTACGTTTGTTTGCCCTGTTCTGCTTGAAAGCAAGAACCTCCCTCCTGCTAACTGTTCAAACAAACGTTTCAACTTGTACACTTTAGAATCTGTAGTTTTGAATATGGATCTTAAGTTGGCGTGACGTTGAAGCAGCGACCCTGCTGTAGTTCGTTTATAGCATATAGCAGTTAGCTTCTGGCGATTAGATTTATGATTAGAAAATTCTAAAAGTAGGGTAGACATGTGGAGATTATCCGGCTGAACAAAATGTGACCCATCTCTTAGATGTGTCTCAACCACAGACCTTATTTCCAGCTATTTTCCAAAATCCTATGGAGAGATTGCATTGCTTTTTGTCGAAGGAACCGGAAAGAGTTTACTTCCGGGTTTTAGGACGCGTCACTGTGGCACTCTAATTAAGAAAAATCAAGGATTGTCTCCCAAAAGTCATTTGTTCTGCATCTCTTCTAATGTCCCTCTCTTGAATGTCTCTTACAGATCCTCTCAGTCCTCCAGACAGCGGACCAGACTCCTCCATCAGCTCCCCCCACCCTCCCAATGTCCAGAAGCCCCCCCTGCCTCCCAGCATGCAACACTCCCAGCCTCCCAGCATGTCCCCCCACTCCCAGAGCACAGTCTGCCTCCAGCCGCCGGTCCTCAGCCCAAACGCCCAGGTCCAGGTGAACGTTCACGGGCTCTCACACAGCCACAGCATGCCCCCCCCCTACAAGATGGCCCCCGAGGACCACAACAAGGAGGACGTCATCTTCTTCTAGAGTCCTCTCTGCTGAAAAAACACAAAATCAAAAGAGAAAACAATCGTGTGTCCCAAGGAGCGATAATGTGATTAACGGTACGTGTAGTCTCGTGCAAACGGAGAGAAATTAAGACTTTTTATTCAAGACTCTTTCAACACTGCGCTTTGTTTTTAAATGCCACTGCTCGTCTTATTTAATTTGTAGTTTAATTTCTTAACTAAAGAAGAAGTAAGACTTCTTGTGAGAGAACGTTTTAATGAAGTTAATCAGATCCAAAGACATTAGCAGCAGGAGCTGAGGGGCGTTGACTGAAAGGAGCAATGTGAAGGGAGAACTGTTTGAAGGAGACTCCGTCAGGTTTGTTAGCGAAGCTCGAAGAGTGAGACGAGCTTTAACCCTCTGCTTCTCCAGGACCTCAAGAAAACACTTCCTGCTCCACGGTTCATTTGCACACTGTACATACTCCATTCCTGACTAATGAATGACATGTATGGATTTAATGTGAAATGTTTGGGCGTCCAAATTGTGAAGATTCATTTCAATTTGTAGTTATTGTTAAAAAAGCGTAATCATGCTTCTAACAGAAGGCTGATCTAGTGTTGCCGCTGGTTGTGAAAAAGACGTTTTTTTTTTAAGGCTGTTGTGTAAATAATCTTCAGTTCGATTCAGTTTTTTAACGAACTCAGGGACGCCTTTTATTATGTTGGTGCAGTTTGATTATGTGCAACAAAATGGAGAGTTTAATGTTCAACGCAAAGACACAAGCTTTTTTGAATTTTTTAGACGCTTTTTTACAAGTGCATACACTGAAAGAAAAAAAATGCCGTTTCTCCCACTATGGCTTTGAGCTTTCACAGCATGCTCATTGGTCAAAAATAAAAAATTAGGAAATACAAATCTGTAAATGTAGTAATTTGAATACATTTTTAAAGGTACATTTTGAGCTGCTATTGGTCCCATAGACATCCAGGAAATTAGCTGTACTGTGAAGACATTAAAAAAGGCCTCGCTGAGTTCGGTATATTTCACAAAATAAACCCTGTCATGTCAGTGGAAGCAGTTTACTGTACAATCCATGACATTTCATGTTGTTTTAAGAATGAAATTAACAGAAAATGTGGTTTGACAGACAAAAAAAATGTAGAAATTCACTGATAATATAAAGAAAACGCGTCATCAACGAACATAAAATTATGATTTTGCACAATCCAGTGGGATAAATGTGTTATTCCCCTCAGAAAACAGACACGTTAAAACAGATGTGTCGGACAAATGAGCGCGGTGTTATCCATCAGTCTGCGTTATTCTTAAGACTTTAAGTGGCTTCGGTCATATTGTGCATAATAATTCCTCTTTACCCACGAACACACAATTGGTCCAATTTTTAAAGTGAATAAATTCTGTCCTAAAGTCAGGAAAAGTTCACGTAATGTTTCCGGAAGCTGGACTTTTTGCTGCATGACAGTACATTTGTCAGGATGAGGGCCGGTGTTTCTTAAAGATACATTTCAAGATGTCTGTGTTTTATTGATTCCTGATGACATTTCATTAGCCAGGTTTTAAATCTCTGCACCTGACAGAAAAGCCAAACTATGACCCAGGTCTTTATCTCTGTATTTCAGAAGGAATATGCAATGCTTCTATTTCTATTTTGAATACACGTGAGAACCCTTTCAATCAGAAAATAGTCGACAGGTTCATGTGTTTTGAGTCTCTGGAGGGAAACATGTCAGAAAAAAGTCCCTGAAGCTGTGATTGCTCGCTGGAGTGTTTCTGTATATTCTGTACATTGTTGTACATAGCGTTTGTGATATGTTGTGCGCCGCCTGCCCTCTTACACACTCTTTATGTATTGACATTTGACATGTATTAAGATGTCAGCCAAAAGTCTGTTTGTGCACATCTGTATACACACTTCACTCTGTTGTGTTTGTACGGTACCGTCTGTCCGGCTTGGTGAGACTCAGTTGAATGAAAACACAATCAGTGGTTGCTGTTGTTTTGATGAGCTGAACATGAAGGTATTTAATGTGTTGATGTCGTAGCATTAAGGCAGAGTCCGTCGTCTTTCTCCTGCGAGTTTTAAAACATAATGTAGCATCCTAAAAACAAAACCATCCGCTTGTTTCAGTCGGTTAAACCAAAGACACACTCGGCTGTTTCCTGTCTGTTTGAAGGATGAGATATGTAAAAATATCCTCCAGGGAGTGTCCATAACAAGTGTGTTTACAGCGCATTGTCGTCCAGCTCATGTCCGGATTTAGGTCTAATTATTGGGTTTATATATTTGTTTTTACATCTTCACGTACAGATCACAAACATCTCTTCATGCGTGAATTTGTCATGCTTTGTTTCATGAAGAAACTGGATTAAATAAACCACTCTGTTAGTTAACTGAATTTCCTCGAGCATACAACACAAACTATACATCATAAGTGATCTTGAGTGTTCCCAGTATGGTGCCAGGCCCAACTAGAGCATCTGATTTTCCTCTGATACAGCTGTGGAAGATATTGTATTCATGTACACCAGGGGTGTCAAACTCAAGGCCCGGGGACCGAATCCGGCCCGTGACTTCATTTTCTGTGGCCCCACAACAGCTCTGAAAGAATATAATATGTTGCTTATACGGTTACATGCCGATTTACAGAAGCGTGGCCCATAAACTACATGTCCCACAATGCATCTGAAATTTGACTTTTTCTCCCAGAATTTGACTTTTTTTCTTCAAAATATGCCTTTTATCTTAGAATTTGCCTTTTTCTCAGAATTTGACTTATTTTTCAAAATGTCACTTTTTTCCCAAAATGTCACCTTTTTTCCAGAATTTGGCTTTTCTTTTTAAATCATTTTGTGACATTCTCACTGAAGAGACTTGCAATTATTTGCCCTAGAATTCTGCTTTCAGACGTAGTTAATTATGAAGTTATTACCCTATCCGATAAAAATCCAATGCAGAGGCAATAATGTAATATAATACATTATTTTATATATATTAAATATTTATATATGTATTTGGCATATTGTATATAGTCTTAAAGTTACAACCGGCCCTTTGAGTGCAACCATAATGCTAATGTGGCCCGTGATGAAATTGAGTTTGACACCCCTGACACAATGTAATATCAATGTGCTTGTGAACATACTTGCTGGTTCTCAGTCATAAAAGAAAGTACAAATCTTTCCAGACTCCAACAAAAACAATCCCAACACAACGTCCACTTTCAAACTTTTTATTCCGGGAGTTTTCCACCATGTCACACTTTCTTCATCAGCGTAGTGAAGCCAATTCTTAACTTAAAGGCTTGCACGTACAAGAAGTCTGTTGTGAATCATTGCATTGCAAGCAAACTATGGAAAAAAGGCATTTAGCGTTGCTTTAAGTGGGATTTTTTTTTATTATCAAACAACCATTTCCAATGATACAAATGACCTTTCATGCTTGACTTGTCCAAGATATTCCAATGTCGGTCCATTAATCTTGTGTTTTAGGTGTGTTTAATCCTGAATGAAGGATGGTAGGCAGCAGGAAAATTGGTGTAAGAGCCCTTTAGTTCTGCTCCAGGTACGAGACTTTTAGTAAACCTCAACATGAGGTGGTGCTGCCTTTTTAAAGCCGATCAACTCGAGTCTTAAATGTTCTTTTGCTGAAGCTCTGTTTTAAAACTTGGAAGCCAGTCAGTCACATCACTGTGTGTGTGTGTATGCTCGCCACCAAAAACACAGCAGAAACATTCCCAAATGACTTGTTTCCAGTTGTGTTTTTTTTATTTTAAATATACACGCACTCATACGCACATATTGGACCTGTAATGTGTAAATAATCATGAACATATTTTATTTCCTCTGCCAATTTTACACCAGTCACTTTGGATAGTAGCGTACTTGAAGGGGAAAATGAATGTTTATAATGCTTATTGTTATTATTATTGTCTGTGAACTTTTATTTACCAAGATTTGTCTAATGACGTTTGTAGCACACAGCAAAACTGATTTTTAAACTGTTTTATTTGATTCACTGTGAGACGTTAGAGCGACCTGTGGACACAAACTGCTGCCTTAGAGAGAGTTTAGTCATATTAAAAAAAAGTCTTGAAATTAATTTGCTGTCTTTGTAGTTTTTTGGGGGTTTTCCTTTTCCTCAATGTTGTATAGGATATAGGTTTTTGTCATATATACAGTCTATGGTTTTTGTGCATGTAAATGGTCTGCAAAGGCTAAAATCCCCCCTGCCTGAAACACCTCCATTGGACTCCTTTGTTTATTTCCTGAACATGGTGACATCACTACATAACACTCGCTCCACTATTGGCTAGTGATAGGCTAAGGGGCGGTACATCTCTAAGCGTTTGACCAATCACAACAGAGCCGGCCAGCTAACCAATCAGAGCAGACTGGGCTCTGGTTTCAGACAGAGGGTGAAAAGAGGTACAGGCAGTATGAGAAAAATATAGAGCTTTTTGAACATTAAAGCATGGAGACATGTCACAGTAGAAAATAAGCACAATAGGGCCCCTTTAAATCACATAATCACCTATTTGGTTTGCTGCATATTTGTATCATTACTGTTTATTCCTGTCCAAGTAAATTTGTATTTACAAGGATTTATTCTCAGCCGCATGTAACATATAATTCAGCCTCATTATTCAGATTTCTATTCACTGCTTGTCAAAAATCCTCCTGACCACCCAATTAGCCAGCAGCCATTCCTCAGAGTCTAGGAGGTGCCGGAACAGAGCTGACGACCCTGTGTTTAGACGCCCTAATAACAGTCTATTCCCAGACAAAGCTCTATTTTCAGGTGCTGTGGTTGAGGCTGTTTAATCCCTCTGTAGCCCGTCCTGTCTGTCCCTGCGTTGTTGTCATTCTGGCTGGGAAGACGCTACAGTAGTGGCCAGTTTTTATTGTCTGCTGTCATTAGTGGCTTTCCTCTGTCTCCTCTCAACAATTATTTTTCCAGGCTGCTTCCCCCGTGGAAAGCAAGCTGCATTTTACTCCCCTCTTTGTTTCTGTCTCGTTCCTCTGCCCATTTCATGTCTCCCTGTCTCTTCCCGTCTCATCCAATGTTTTAAAATCCTCCTCAGCTCAACCGCCTCCCAAGCATTTTTATGTAATGCAGGAAGTCAGGAGTCTTGGCTGTTGTGTCGGAGGCACTTTTTACCGCAAAGTTAAAACAAATGGATGCTCCGCGGAGACAGGCGTGCAGACGAACCTCCCCGCGGCCTCATAAAACGCTGAGACAAATCTCAGTTTGATAGACTCTGTGTCAGCAGTTGGTTTGTGTTTGTTTTCGCTCTCCGGATCTCACAGTTTCTCCGCACTTTGACAGCATGTAGGTTGGAATGAGCCGTAAAGCTGTTAAAATATTTCAGCCTGGCTCTGAGCAAAACCACTGTTCAAATTCAGGGCTATCAAACCTTATTGGCTTGTGATCCCTGGAAATTAAGCAGTGTCTTTACCAGTTACATCTGTGTCATTGTGAGGGTTTCTTTTGTCTTATTTCAGTATTTTTTTCCTCAGGCCTCATTTTATTCTTATGATGGCTATAGAGGAAAAGTCAGAAGACCAAGAAAGTTGATATGGTTCATCTTCTGGAAACCATGAATGTCCATACAAGATTTAAATAGCTGTACATCCAGCTTGTTCAGGCGTAACAAAGATGTGGAACTAAACAATGTTGCTGCCATTACTAATAATGCAAACATTATGGAAACTACTGTATATTACAACATACAGTGTTGAAGATAACTTGGATAGCTAGCGTAAGCTTATGTTAGAGCTAAAACTACATGTATAAGCTACTCATTTTTTACCTACTTAACCTACCTAAGCAAAAATAATGCTAAACTTGTGCTAACGGTGACTAGCCTCAGCTTTCGACTCGGCGTTAGTTAATCACAAAAAAAGGACATATTTATATCGTAATATTGTATATGATTGTATTTAAAGTGGACCTATCATGCTATATTATAATAATATAGTGTAGGACCATACCTATATAAGGCATATTTATACTTTTTTTTTTTTCAAAATACCAAACAGATCATGCATTTTAGCCATGCCTCATTTTGCTCAATTTGCACTATTTTACCCCTGTTTTTGCAAGGGCAGATTCTGTGAGAACAGCACCATCTACAGGCCTGGAATATGTACTACAGCGTCTCCAGCGCTTTCGAGCGGCAATGGCCGTGGCTGTCTCCTCCTGATTGGTGGAGTTGGCCCAATAGCCGTAGCGCCACTGTCCTGACGTCAGGACAGTGTTCAAATCTGGATCAGTTTTTATCAGATCCGTTGCAGCCCCTTTTTTAGAGATTTGGGTATGGAGGAAAATAGAGAGGGTTGTGTTTTCTGACACTTGGTGAGTTCCCTGGAACACCGGGGACACATATTCATGTATAAAAGACGTGCAAAAGTGCATTTTGCATGATAGGTCCCCTTTAAATAATCCAATGCCTCTTAGATAATGTTCCATATACAGTAATAGTGGCCATCTCCCCACACTTCATTTGAAATGTAATTAATTTGCCAAATAAGAGACAATAACAAAGTTAAAATAAATTTGACGGAGCATTTTTCCATCCAATTTTGTATAGATATCCTGATAGTGTCATTCTCTTAGATTCTATTGGACACAGTAATAGTGTAGATACAATCTGATCGTGTGACAACTCTAAGGGAAATATCTTAAAAAAGACTCTGACTTTGTGTTGCAGAAATGTGTTTCTTTTCTGCTTTGCTGTCCTGTTAATGATTTGCAACCCTTCAGTTCTCCAAGTTGGGAACTTTAACCTACATCAGCAGAGATGTTGAACCCGATTGCATCCTCCCCAACCTTGCTTCTTGCTGTTTTTGCATGTAATGTTATGAAGGAATGTACTTTATGGCTGCTCATCCAAGTATTGTTTCATCCCTCCTGGCTGACACAAAGATCCTCTTGTTGAAAAGACACAAAGCGGACTTTATCTGTCGTCTTTGCTAACACCCAAGGTGATTACGGGAAGATAAGCGGCAGGAAATGTCTCTCTGCCAAGGCGGCTTCAAACTCGTCTTACATAACATCCTTGGCAGGGAATATTCTAGAAAAGAGGTGTTTGTCTAAGATAAGCTTTGCATGTTTAAGGTTGCTGTTATCAATGAGCAGTAAAGGTCTGAGACACTAGATATTTCTCATGGGGTGTGAAATGTAAACTTCATGCTGTCTGCTCCATAGGTTTGCTTCGGATGAATGAAAATCATTGTTCCTCCAGCCTGTTTGACTGATCCTCCATCTTGCTTCAACAAAGGAAGCCCCTGTGAAGAGGCCCCGCAGAGAAAGGTTATGCCAGGTAGAAATCAGATCAGGTGGAGGCTATTGTTCTGCCAGAAGGGGGAAGATGGATTATAAAGGAA